TATTAATTTTAATGAAAATTTACAGAGATTTTGGATTTCCATTCATTTATTGTTGCACTTTTCTCCCACCCCACCCCTCCAGTTCATTCTTTTTGAAAAGTAAAAGAAAAATTCTTTCATTGTTATACAATCCCTCCACCCAAGTCCACTCCACTGTGCCTTCATTCTGGATTCATGTCATGACAATAATACTTAATCATATATATCTTTTAAACAGTTCTCTCTCGCTCATCTGTTTCAATGCAATATACATAATTTATCCCCTCTTTCTCAGCCTCCCCTCCAGCCCCTATGTCAGTCCCACTTTACAACAGTGGCACTATGCATTATCTGTCCTTTTGTGACTGAGCTATTTCACTCTGCATAATGTCCTACTCTGCATTGAAAAACAAGGAACTCATGAAATATTATTCAAAATGGATGACCCTGGAGGACAAAAAAAAGGGCACTTTTAAAAGTAAAATGGTAGAAATCTAATTACACCAACAACAACACTGAAGGTGACTGAATTAAACAATACAAATAACAGGTAGAAATTGTGAGGCAAAAATCTAAATTTAAAAGAAAATTTAAACATCCCACTATTTACATACTCTCTCTACCAAAAAAGTCTATCATTAGATTTAAAGGGAAAATGGGTAATTCCATAAAAATAGTTAAAAAGTCACTACTTCACGTCCAGTTATGGATAGGACAGCTAAGGAAGTCAACAACTTTATAAACCAGCTAATTTAACAAATATCTAAAGAGGCTTTACCCAACAACGGTAAACTATATTCTTCTTTAGTGTACATGGGGGGGAACCCTAAACTTATAATTAAATTGAAAAGTACAGTCTTTATTTCCACCAACTTCACCTAAAAGCTAAATTACCTTCCACATTATCATTATGTCAAGTTTTTTATACTGATACGTTTCAAAACATTGTTAGAAGCCTCCAGCTCTGACGTGAGTTATCTTCCAAAGGGTTGTTTTTAAATTTTAAATTCCGCACACGTTTGCCCTAGTATGTGATCCTCTCACACCTACAGAAGTAATAAACAGTTTACACTACTCATTATTTCCTATCCACACAACCCTCCTTTATCTTCATTTTCTGTGATGAGAAAACCAACCTTTCTGTAACCTGCTCAAGGTCAATTTTGAGCTCGCCGCCTCTACTCAATAATTTTTAAATTAGGTTAACATCCTGAGATTAACCCAATGCACCTCTACGCGGAAAATGTCAGTGATTCCAAAAGCCTCCACTGCAGTTTATGAGTCTTGGAGGTCAGGGCAGCTCCCCGCAGCTGGAGAGTGTGTGCGCCTCCTGCATAAGCACCGGAGGGGGCGCAGAGGCAAAAGGGGTCCCAGCCGCAGCGAGGTCCAGTCTCGTGCACGACCCCCTTGTGGCCACCGGACACCGCGGGGACAGCCGTAAGGAGCGCAGCGGGTGGCTCCAGGTTCTACCCCTGCGAAGGAAGGGCTCAGCGAGGGACGCCCCCCCCCC